TATTGAACAGTAGCCACGTTCATAAAATATGATGGTCAAAAATATTCTAATAACAAAAGGAATAAAATACTGTATGTTCAAGACTGCTGATTAATCCTACTTCTCAATACTGCATATTTCCTTTTTCCTTAGAACTAGAACCCTAAGTTTTAGCTTTAACAAAATTCTGTGAGTTAAATGTAGTTTTTCTAAGAAGCCTACTCCTTCTCCAGTCCTCAACCCTATAATCTGGATGTAGCTATAATGGTTTGGTGCATGAACAACCCTTTTGGAACATCAGGTTATGGACTAAGAATGGCAGAAATGGTGAGAGAGGAGTTGGGTCCCCCATGAGCCACTAAACTGGCCCAAGGTTATTTAGGTGGGTAAGAAATAAGATCCTGTCTTTTTAAGACACTAAAATTCGACTTTTTAAATTTATTTTTTAGTTTTAAATGTTTTGTAGGAATGGAGTCTCACTGTGTTGCCCAGGCTGGTCTTGAACTCTCGGCCTCAAGCAATCTTCCTGCCTTGGCCTCCCAAAGTGCTCATATTAAGGGCTAAAATTTGACTTTTTAAAATGAAATGTACCTGAATTTAATGGGAATGGGAATGTGGTGATTGGTAGGGTTGGTTTGAATCTGATCTATAACTCACCTCTTGAAGACATGGAGGGAGGAGGATAAAAATGGGGAGTCCTGTTAGAAAACCAGGGTTTTCCACAAATGTGTTCACTTCCCCAACCAATGCAGGACAGGAACACATGAATAAAGGCTGGAAGGAGTTTGTTTTCTTCTCCCTCCTCTATTACCCTCCGGAATCCAGGATCCTGAAAACTGAGACCTGAATGACTGTGGCGCTGGGGCGTGGCCTCCATGTACTACAGCCGTGGAATCTCTGTCTTGAAGCCACGTGATGAAATGTTCACTGGTCCAAGACAAACTAAGTGGTATGGATCATATTCATGAGTTTTTCATAAAGCTAAATTTATTCAATTTTTAAAAACTGTTCTTTATTCCTAAATAATGTTTGCCTTACTTTTGGGGCTGAAAATATATAGTTGCTTGTATAATTGATCATAATAGTAGATATAGATTTTTTTTAAAGTCACGTTTTAACACAATAAAAAGATTAGTAGACCTATGTTAGGTCCCCAAATTAACTAATTTGATTGTTAGTCAGAGCAACCCTAAGTCCAGATATCTGGATGATAATAATAGTAGACTCAGACCTGGGAATAATAATAACAGTAGAAGGTTGTATTTATTATTTACAGGTATTATTTTCATTTTATCCTTCTGCTAGGATGTTTACTCTGTGAGGTATAAGAATTTTTATCCTCATTTCTGGATTAAGAAATTGAAAGCTAAGTATTTTTAAATAAATATTTTATTTTCCTTGTTGGTTCTATGCTCAAGACAGTATGGGTTCAATGATTCCGTGATTCCACGAACCATGAGCTTAAACATATTGAGTCACAGGAACCACCTCTGGTTTCTTTAGGGATGATAGTAGCAGTTTCTTCACTCAGAATCAGCCACTTGAGTTTTGGGTATTCCATGAATTTCCAACCTAGAAGTCCCATCTGGGTTCTAGTTCTTACTCGTACAGTTACGGTTTTATAGGGCTTTTAATATTAATCCTCATTAAGAAATAAGAGAAACCCATGGAATAAATATTTTATCAAGTGCCTACTGTGTACTGTGCATGGTTCTAAACACAGGAGATGCAACAGTGAGGAAAAAAAATGTGTCTTCACAGATCCTTCATTCCAGTGGAAGTTTCAGACAATAAACACTAACTGTCCAATATTTCACATGGCGATAGTGCAATGGAGAAAATAAAGAAACAGAATATTGAATGTAAGGGGTTGCAATCTTAAATAAAATCAGGGTGAGGGGAGTCTCACTGAGAACGCAACAGTTGAGCAGAAGGGGCAACCTGTGTGTCTATCTGGAAACACTAAAGAGGCAAACCATGTGTCTATCTGGAAAAGAGCATTTAGCCTGGGAGGGAATGGCCAAGTGCAAAAGCCCTGAGTCCTTGAGTGTTCTTGGCATGGGAGCTGGTGGAGCTGGAAGAGAGGGCGCAAAGGAAGAGTCATAGGACATGAGGTTGGAGAGGAAGCCAGTCAAAGAGAAGGAAAGGAAAACAAGACTGTGCGAGATCTTATAAACCACCGCAAAGATTTTGTGTTTACTCTGAGGAAGAAAAGATGTTGGAGGGATCTGAGCAACATGAAATGACTTAAGTTTAAAAGGCTGTGGCTACTGTCTGAGAAAGATTATAGAGACGCAATGGTGGAAGCAGGAAGACCAGTTAGGAGGCTACTGGAATAACATAGGCAAGGGATGGTGGTGACTTGGTCCTGGTGGTAGTGGGTACAGGTGGCAGAAGTAGCTGGATTCTCAATGCATTCTGAAGAGGGCTGGTGGGATTTGCTGAAGGACTGACAGTGAGGTGTGAAAGAGGTTTGCAGGAGGAGTGTGTTTTGAGCGGGGAAGATCAGGAGTCAGTTTTGGACTTGTTAAGTTTGAAGTGATTACTATACATCGAACACATGTAACACTGAAGTTATCAGGCAGACACCATGTAGAGAGCTGGACACACCAGTCTGGAGTACAGGAAGAAGAATTGGGCTGTAGGTAAATTTGTTAATCTTTGGCATACAAAGGCATTTAAAGCCATGAGATTAGATGAGATCATCAAGGGAGTACGTGTAGATGGGGAAATATTTGGAAGATCAAGTCTGGGGCACTCCAGTGATTAATGGTCAAAGAGATGAGAAACATCTCCAAAGAACCTGAGAAAAGCAAACAGTAGAAAGCAGGAGAAACACCAAGAGAACGTTATCCAGGAAGTCACGTGAAGGGAGTGTTTGAAGGAGAGGAAGTGATCAACTCTATCAAAGCCGCTGATTTGCCCCTTCTTGCCTTGTGTTTTCTCATTAGCATGTATCACTATCTATCATAGTTATGTCCTAAATATACTGGAAGATTCAGGAGGTAAGGCAGTGGAGAGCTTGTGAGAGCATGATGATTGAGCTGATGTCAGTGATCTTTAAAACAGAGTCAGCCAACAGTTTCTGATATTGAGGAGAAAACAGCAGAATTATACAAGTTATTTAGAAATGCATAACTAAGTCCTAGAAAGAAACAGCTAAGGCCAGGCGTGGTGGTTCACGCCTGTAATCCCAGAACTTTGGGAGGTCGAGATGGGCAGTTCACAAGGTCAGGAGATTGAGACCAGCCTGGCCAACACGGCAAAACCCGTCTCTGCTAAAAAAAAATACAAATCAAATATTAGTCGGGTGTGGTGGTGTGCACCTGTAATCCCAGCTACTTGGGAGGCTGAGGTAGAAGAATCACTTGAACCATGGAGGCGGAGGTTGCAGTGGCTGAGACGACTCCACTGCACTACAGCCTGGGTGACAGAGTGAGATGCTGTCTCAAAAAAAAGAAAGAGTGGGACTAGGGGATATGAAGTCGTAGGGAAGAAGACTGCTGCTATTCATTATGAGCCTCCGCTTTTTAAACTATATCCTTGTACTACTTTGATGAAAAATTAAAAACAACTAGTTAAAAAAAGTTTTCATGAACTATACGCCTACTTCTTAACTTCTGGGCTGTGAAATTACAGCCAGAGGCCAGCAACTCCACATGCTCACCAGGTATCATTTGCACACGAAGTAAGGTCTTATTAAGCATCATGTGTACAAGATACATATGTACATACTGCTTTCATCACTACAAATTAAATTAAAAGTATTCTTGAAATTGTAATAATATTCAATCATTAAAGATAATATCAGTCAACTAATAACTAAAAATAGCCACTATTCTATAATCATCCACATAATTTTTTAACATTAAAAATAGTTCTTCACTCTGAGTAAGTTTAGGAGCCCCTGTGAAAGTTAAACTACAATACTATAGGTTATTAAATTTATGAGACTACCTTTGTAATAAACTTTTGAAGGTAGAGATAATTCTTTCTACATAGCTGTAACTTTGTTTGCATGTCTTTCTAACAATTCAGAGTCCTTGAAAATGATATCATGTTCTAGGAGTCTTGGGATTTCTATACCTAGTACAGTTGTCAACATAACAACAATAAATAATTTTTAATATTTCCTAAGTGCTTTCCCTTTAGCTATTGCTTTAAGCACTTTACATATATTTTCATTTAGTTACTATCATGGAAACACACCCTTCAGAAGTTGATACTCTTAGTATTCCTATGTTACAGAAGAGAAAACTGAGCCACAAAAGAAACACGAATGTTCATTGCAGCACTGTTTACAATAGCAAGGACCTGGAACCAACCCAAATGCCCATCGACGATAGACTGGATAGGGAAAATGTGGCACATATACACCATGGAATATTATGCAGCCATCAAAAACGATGAGTTTGGGTCCTTTGTGGGGACATGGATGAACCTGGAAACCATCATTCTCAGCAAACTGACAGA